ATTTTGCGGCACTGATGGTTAAAAGTTCCCAGATATGGTGCGATGCATGTTTATGGAGCCAGCACGAAGCATAATTTCGGTTGTTCTCGAATTATCTAGGAAATAGCAGGCAGAGACCCGGGAGTTTCAGAGGTATTTTCTGGATGAAACAAAAGGAAACCCGTGCTTTGTACATACCCTAATATGCTAGACAACACGTTTTCGACCGCAGTGTGCATGTGAACTTTGGACTGACGTCCGGGGGCAAAGCTAATCAGAATTAACGGGGATGATGTGGAGAAACTTTGCTGAGCGCGCTGCGGTGTAGAGTACTGTATGTAGACGGAATGTGAAGCTGATCTGCGCAAACGTGATCCTGGAGCGCGAGAACAGCGAGTTGATCGATGCGCCGGTACTTATCCGTCCGCAAATTACCGACTCTTGTGTGCAAGGTAGGCACGAGATGAAGTTTCCCGTCTTTTTGAGATGGGGGTTATTGGCGCTAAGCAAGGGAAAGGGAGAATTTGCTCGCACTGGTAAACTCTAAGGAATGGATGAGTTTCTGTTGGCCTGGTGCCAGGGCAACCGTTTCCCGGCATCGATTCATTCGAGTCACCGCTAGCCCATGATTCTGCCAACACCATGCGTCAGTTTCCATTCTACGAGCCCTCTATTTGCGCTCGCACTTGTATTTTTCGCCCTCTTCCTCCTTCTATCCTTTCTTTTCCTTGCTCTCACTCCGCGTACGTTCTCGAGGATTTTTTTCTTATTCACCCTTTGAACAGACATCGTAGGTGAAAACGGATGAAGTCCGGGCACGTCGGCGAAATTAAGCTAGCACTCTATTGCTTTTACCAGACTTTCGAGAGAGCAGTTTGGCTGTTTCCGTCGAAAAAGAACGTACTAGATTCCGTCGCGGGATTGCTTCAGTATCGTAGCGTGCCAATTCAGCGATACCGATACGAGAACTAGCTGTTCCGTGTTCAATCGATGGTAACCATGAGAGGAGATTATGGCTAATTGCGACACATATTGCGTTGAAGTTGAGAGGAATTTTTCCCCAGCTTTACCTCCTATTGTTAATCGGTAGTCGTTGGACCATAGAACGGAAAAAGATTCATTATGGCACTCATATTAGAACTCAGCCTGGAGTCGTTAGTGCGACATCCATCGATTTCAAATTGCCTTTTGCGATCGTCAATAAAGTTGAGATGAAATTCAAATCATCTTGAGTTTATGGCATGTCTTCATTTTGATGAATCTTTATTTAAAACAGTTCTGCTAGATAACTGCCGTATATTTCCCTCGATTAGCCACTTCGTGATCTTTGGAAATCATTTCCGAGAGTAAAATTTGCAAATACAGCACGCATCGTATCTATAAATGAACGAAGAAATTTACTACATGCAATCCGGGAACAATTCAATGCCAGGTTTATCTTATTCAAGTGGATTATCTTGCATTGGAATAATGATGAAGCTAACAGAACGTAAACAAAACCAAGCTCGAATTAAAACGAAATTGCTCTGTATACCGTAATTCTATGCTTTCGTCTCCCAAATCAAGTACGGTAATAAAAAATACGAGAGTTTACCTCGAAGTTAGCTCGCTTTCGCAATCATTGTGGTATGTACACGAGTACAGGGTGCTTCAGTGTATTTTTTCGGTACTGTTTCTTCGGCGGAATCAAGTGGTTTGAAGACATTTCCGCCTTCTGCTGGCAAATCATTCGTGGTCGAAAAAATGTAATTTTCTGTTGCTTGAATTTTGGCTTGCGAGTCGACGGTACTACGACTCAGAGTATCGGTTCTCCGCGACTGACACTTCCCGCGATGAATCCATCTGGTATATTTGATTCACGCTCCAACACTTAGTCACTGAGTGTATTCAAAGCCGGCGTCGGCACTGAATATTTCACTGACACGAGGCAGGAGAACGCGTGCTGCGCATTAATCGAAACCCCTCATCTATTTGATGGGTAGAGGCGACATCGCTCGTTGCCGTGTGACACTATTCCGTCGCGCGCTGCGAGTAACGCGGAGCAGCTGGGTTCGATGTACATTACATTCCCGTTCCTGCGAGATGACTCATGAAATCTCGGAAGAAAAATACAGTCGAGGAAATTTTGGCATCAGCAATTTCTAGACTGAAGGGTTAAATTAATCTTGAACTCAAACTTATCGAACTAGAAGCACCATGGTGATCAATCTTTCGAAATCGCGTGACAAGGTAAAATCGTCCGTCGTATATGGCGATGGTTTCTAATAAGTCTGTCGGATCCCTTTCAAAGTATCATTGTCACACATTTTTCGTTCACAAAAAATCCCAAAGAAAAATCCAAAAAAGATAAAATTACTGAGGGGAAAATTTCCATTCTGACCGCCGGTCAAATTTTTGAACTGGAAATCAATGATTTAGTGATTCTTTTGAAAAACTATGCGAAAATGGAAACTTCGAATGACAATATGCACACTGTGAATGCAAGTGTTCGACAGCAACATCTGACTCCTGGAACAGTTGTGATCAAGTCGTGAAAATCGCATTCCCAAATTGGAAGACCATCGCTAATAAAAACGTTACTCCGAAATTTTTTCACGTTTCAGTACATGCTATTCCCTATCATCAAAACAACCAAAATACCTCAAAGAATTTTTGTTTGTGCCTCACCAACTGTTTGCGACAGAGGTTTTTTTTTAATGTACGCACCGGGACAAAAATGCAATGACAAGTGTCATTCAGCTGAGAGGAAATTTGTTCACTTGCAGAATTTTTGAAAAGCCCCTCGTAGGTAGAATGGATCTCCATCCCTTCATGGAATTTCCCGCGGAAGACCTAGTTCTTTTATGTCAGACAATGTTGATTTACCTTCTATAGAATGTAGAGTGACAGAAAAACCATAATTTCAAATGGTCCCTTTTCGAAGTTTTTAAGAGCGTCTTCCGTCAACAACAAAATTTCAATTTAAATTGTTTTGAACAATTAATGAGCTTGTTTTTTTGTAAACTTTCGGTTCTGAGGATGAAGCTATCCCGAGTTTCCCTGTTGCTATTGAAAGTTATTTGACAATGACGCGATGATTTGAAAAATGTCTTTCCCGCAATCGTTCGCCGTGGCCGTCGATCAAACGTTACAATCAAACTGCATTCGAGCAATGGATGAGTTGACATTTATTTGGAATATCTGTAACTGCTGCGCAGTTGTACGCAGAATATCGACATCATCATGTGTAAGACAATCTGCCTCAAAATCGGCCTTCGCGAAAATCTGACTTCGGCGCATCGTGATTTCGTTGACATGACGAGCGGTGTTCGGGAAAATCCACGAGGCACAAAATTTCCCAAACATCCCGTAGCTTCCGCAATATAACAGACATTCTTGAACAACCCCTCAGTAACTTAAAGTTCTTCGGTAGATTTCAATTTTTTTAATAAGCATGTATTTTTATAACTTCAGAGCATAACGTATAATTTTTGGAGGCAGTAAATTGGAAACCTCTGTCGTGTTGTCTATTTCAACTTCGATGATTCTTCATCACGGCATCAATCTTTTTGCTGTAATAAAACGGAAATTTAAAAAATGATTAGACCTTTAGAATAAGTACAGTACAGTACTGAATAATGTGCTCCTCTTTCAAATCAAGGCAAGTATATTATTTAGGCACTCGCAATTCGTTCCTTTTGGATTTTTTTGGTGGATTATTTAGGGACCCATTGAGAAAATGCCCCTTAAATTCCGCGCGTTTTCGCAGTACAATTGTCAAAGGACGTCATCCTTTCGGGTGTGGAGTTCTTGAAATGCAGAAATGTCTGCTATGCTATTTCCTGCCCCTGTCGAGATTTGAGAACTGGCTGCGACATTTGAAGGACTTACGACGCCACGAATAACTGTAAAACTTGGGAATGTGGAAATCCTTGACGTCAGATGAGCACTTACGAGTCGGTGCAAATTCCGAAGGATGGCACGCACTTGCTAAACAGAATTGCGACGTATTTTTGAATAATGTAAACAAATAAACAGGATGAAAATAGTCTGAACTGCGACGGAATTATCGGAAGTCTGCATTCGGAAGTGCGTGAGATTCTTTCGTAAACATGTTTGCTTGATCTAGCGGTTGCATCCATAATTTATTCGTCGCCATACTTCGTCTTCCTCTTGACGATGCTTGCATCGCTTAGTGATTGCTTCCTGTTTCGGAAGTACAGTATCATAATGTGGAGATTTACTGTACGTTGGTAAAATGCGTAGTCCCCACGATTAAGCATGCAAAATCACGCTCTGTGAGGTAAATCTCGGTTATCGTGGAGTTTATTTTTTATTAGTACTGTATTATATCTTTAATTTCGGGTCACTTTCCGCCCACCGGCCAATTTTCGTTGCTTTTGCGGACTCCAAATTTTGAGCTACTTGAAACAGATTTTTTTACCGCCAAAAAATTGGCCAGTTCATCAATTTATTATTTATATGACTGTTACCTTGGGAGGGAAACTCACTTGAAACGTGGGAATCCGTTGGATTCATTGAGAAGCGTATTTCTGGAAGTTGCATAACAAAAGATTCACCTGCATGGGGAAAGCCCCAAAATTTGAATAGGGCTCGTCTGAAATTCGAATTGCCCTTGCTAACCGTCAGCCTCGACTGAACCCGATTCAGTGAATGAAAATGGAATAAGGAACGTGGGCAAGCCCACACTGTAGGTTATTCACAAGAAAGGGACGACTGATTTACTTTTCCACGGGAAGAAAATCCCGGACAGATACGATTACAAAAACCCATAAAGTCTATTTTACTATGCCAGTTCAAACTAGATTCACCGGCGATGTTTGCGAGGTCAATTTTGTACCCAATTGACTGAGAAAGTTGTTTTTCCATATTTTTTCTCATATGTGTCATCACGTTTGTCATTTTCAGTGCAGTACTTCCAACGGAATTCCTCGGAACATCCATGTCATGAACCCGGAAGTTTTCTCATACTGTGCATCTCCAGCTTATTTTGAAATGGCTCAGGAAAACGTACTCCAGAAGAGCTTGTCATCTAATGCTCTTCACGAAAATATATGTTTCTTTTTTTGTTCGATCGGGTAAAAGCCCTGAAAGGTTACTTGGAATATTCCAGTCTTAGCGATAAAATTTATTCGAAGCCCTCGAATTTTCTTGAATGATCGTCGATTTGCTTAACATGCGTATGCTTTAAAAATATTCAATGATGAGTAAGTGAACCCGGGCGGGGTTGGCATCTGGGCCGCATTTCGGAGTCAATGATCCTTCTCATAGAACTCGTGATTCTCATTCAGAAGTTTCTTCTTCGCTGCCTGACTCGACCTGTTGAAAATAACTGGCCAGGGAAACATTGGTCTGAAAAATCGTATACGCTAAAGATTTTTTCGCGTGCTTAAATACTCCGATTTTTACCGGGGTACATTTGAATGCAAGATACTGTAAAATATTCAATTTATTCTTACCTTTATCATAAATCAACATGATTACGAATTTTGTGATGCCACGGATACCGGGGATATTTTTGCATAATGTTCTTGACTGTAGACCGGATGAAGTACTGCCTCGGCAATGCCGTCGATAAAATATACGACGCTGTTTGTTCCACAGGTTTATGTCGAAATCCACGGGACAACTCACGTCAGTCCCCGATGCGATTCGGTGGTGTCGCCAGCGTTTCGCGATGTTCGGCGTTTCTATCGGTTTTCGGGATTTCCCACGCTCGAGTTTTGTTTGTGCGTGAAAGCGAAAACGCTGCAGGATACCTATTTGTTGATACCAAGGGAGTTTCGATATCCTGGTTTCTGATATCCTTCTCGAGCGGCACGTTTGATTTATGATGCCGAGATATCTCTGGATTTCACTTGAAACCTTGCGAGGTTAAATCCATTGAAGAAATTGCTTCGCGACAAGAAACTGATTTGTTATCAACCTCATTCATTCTGTTTTTGTTGTGACGTGAGCCGGTCGATCGATCAAAAAGTGTTCCAAGACAGGCTTTATCAACCTTTCTCTGAATTTTGTATTGGACGTCATGGAGGATTAAGGATACACAGAGGGACTCTCTCGAAAACAATTCGGTCTGAAGCTTTATGCAACAATTTGTTTTCTGGAGCAAGGAGGCTCTCTTAACAACGTCGCGCCGAAGCAACTCATCCCTCAGCATGTTTTACAGAATCAATTTGTAAATCAATACAGTAGTTTCTGAAGATCAGAATTTACACTCGACATCGAACGGTATACGCTCGAAATTCTATGTTCTGATTTGTTGGACACATTTTTGTGGGATTTAGCGTCACTTTTATTAGCGCCAATTTTTACTGATTTTTCGATTTGGTTACCGGCCCCTCTAAAGTCCATCACTTCTACCTTCGAAATGTCTCGCGTACCACTGCTGGGAACACAGGTTCCCAGCAGTACCACAGGCTCCGAGATTTCGAAGAAAATGACCTACTTGCTAGCTGATCGATGTGCAGTTTCCTCGGAACCGTTGCCTTTTGTTTTGCGTTCTGTTTTTCTCTAAAACCTCAATACGGCTCAGTTTCGTCGAAAGAACCACCTGAGTGTACGAAAATTCTCCTTGAGCCAATAGAGCACACCGGACACCAGCAAGGAATACGATACCGTCGAAATGGGTCACTCCCGTGCCGCTAATGCTTGGAACTGAGTGTGGGGTTCTCCGAAACGGCGGGAGGATTTCGGGGGTGACTCAAGCGACGATCCCGATCAAAATGCAAAGGACGATCCGCCACGTCCCGCATTTCCGCCGCGACGCTCGTCGCGTCGCGACACGGTCAGTGCCAAAGAGGAGCGGAATCACCGTGTGATGCGCGTCCGAAGAGAAACTCCTTCGTCATGAGATCAGCTCTGGTTGTTCTCAATTTGATCTTGAAAACAGGGGGCTCGTCGTCCCTCGCGACACCGATAATTTTTATTTTTTTATCCGTCGAGTGAACCGGTCGATCCTGCTATTCTCGATCAATTTTTATCCGGACTGAAATTTCTTGCCTTTTACCTCTCTCCGTTATTTCTCCCGTCGCGATGCGGGATATTCGGTGCGTCAAACTAATCGTTTCTCTTGGCTTTTCGCGAAAAAATTATCCTGACTTTGTTTTGGAATCGAGTGAACGAATCCTTCCTCCCAAGGGGATGTATACTGGCGGTGAATGAAATTTCATCGAAGTTTATGTGACGCGTCAGCTGGCTATTGATATTTCTGTCTCCCCACTCCGAAATCAGTGAAATTTTTCGCACCAAGTATATTTCAAATTATAAGTTTCAAATTATAGTGTAATGCGATTCGAACGAAGCCGTAGCTTTTATAATAGACGGTTCTGTTTTATCTCTCAATTCGATCAATCTGAATAAATCTGGTTTTTTGTCCTGTGAGAATTATGTTCCAGTGCCGCGTTACTTTCTCTTGCTTCCAAAAAAATCAGCGAATTATTTTTAAAATAAATTCGGTTGCATCGGCAACGTTTCCTAATATGGATACTTGAAATGCGAGGAACTTGTTTATGTCCCTTTGGCCGTTCGACGCTTTCCAAGCTTAGAGTATGCGATAGTGAACACCAACATTCAAATCAAGTCTTGAATCCCAGCTTCCAAGCGATCAAGTGGCTATTAATAATCAGGATTATTGGGCCCCTAGAAAGGTTTCGCTGTGGACGCAGTTTTCATTTTATAGCTTGTAGACGTTTTAAGGCGCCGAAACGGCGAAGAAAATGTAATGACAGTCAGAAACTCGAGGAATTCAAAGCGAAATCTAGTAAATCCCCAACCATCTCCTCCTGACTGACTTGGAATCCTGGTGCAGACGTGGGAAAGCATCCAGTACTAGAGGAAGAAATATTCTTGTTTTCCTTGGCCGATGCAGATACTCGAGTGATTTTTTTTTTTATCCCAGAGATGCTCAGCTTTTTGTGAATACTAGAAATTCTGCAAGATCATGTGGTTGCATTTTTCCGGGAGAGTCGCACAAGTCTCGAAATGTCCACTAGCATTCCAGCGAGTCTCGTGATTTCTCAACCTTCCCTGGCGCCGTCGCGGCGTGAAAATGACGCGAGCTTAATGCGGGGTGTGACTCAGGACTAAATGCAAAAGAAGTAGTTTACTCCTGTAAATGTGCCTGAAAAAAGAGAAGCCGGAAGAGATGTTACTGTATACTTTATTTTCTTATGCCAACAAGCGAAAGCAAATGAAAAAGCTTCAGAAAAAATGAAATGCAAAGCTCGGAGAAAATACTATTACACCACCTGCACAAATACAGTATTCATACCCGCGCAGCTTAAGTGTTGAAAATTTGTGATTCCGCGCCATCATTGCTTTGGTATCTATGCAGCTTCAAACACATTTTCAGTTTAATATACAGTATTCTCGATTGCGCAATGTCACAATTGTTGAGACTATACGTTTACTCTAGCCCAGTGCTCCCCAACCTTTTTGGGCCCGCGGACCGGGAAATTTTCATGGAATTTTTTGCGGAATAGCAAATTTTCTAACGATTTTCTGCGGACCAGTAAAGTTTCATACGATTTTTTCAGCCTCCAATAGGTTTTGTTTCAGAGACATTATTGCAGGCACTTGAAAGTTTCTGCTTCTTTTTTTGCAAAAATTAAGTTGAGAACAAATAAGGCAGCTATTGAATGTATTCAAAAAATTAGAAAGGTAGGCTCGAAGAAAGATTTCTCAGAATGAAAGGTTAAAATAATTTATTTCGTCAGGTGAACATTTGTGTGAAGTGTTATTAGGAGAAAAGCCAACTTTCATTTTCCATGAGATAATTTTAACTGCCATTGTCTTGCAAAAATGTTAGATAAAGATACTGTAACGTCCTTCATTGATACTTTTGATGAATTTATTATGCTTGAGAAAATTTCTGGCGGACCGGGAAAAAACTTCTGCGGTCCGACGCCGGTCCGCGGACCACGGGTTGGGGAATACTACCCATACTTACGGATCTTTTTCTGGACGTTTCGACTATCAATGAGATCAACGATCAATCCAATTATCACTTCTGGTGAAGATGAGAATAATTTTCCGAAAATAATCTCGTTGGGTTGAACAGCTGTTTGGTATAGAATTCCGTGTTATGAAGTAGAATTCCGTGTTACGAATATTTCAAATTCAAATCATTTTAGAGAATATCCTCGAAAGCTTGAAAGAATACGCTTGAAAGGGATATTCGTTAGTACAAATGTGGAATCTTGGAAATGTGCATGTTCTGTTTAATATTACGGAATGTAAGTTTAAGCCGATTTTTTCTTCGGGCTTGGGGAAATACTGGAGAAATGTTTGGCCAGATTTCGTCGTCATACCGTCATTTTAGCGTCACTGACGGTTGCATCCATGTGTCGAGATTTATTGCTTCGTCCGCGAATCCTTGAATTTATCTCTGACGTCGGGAGAGATGCCGCCTTAGTTTTCATATCCTCCGTGACGTGATAATGGATGTTTTTCTTTCTTTCTCTTCTATTCCAGTTCAAAAGGATGTTGAACAAGGAGCTGTTGCATTTCAGTGAATCCTCCAAGTCGGGGAACCAAATCTCGGAATACATTTGCTCGACGTTCCTGGGTAAGCGACCGAGTTTCCGAATACTTTACGATACACATTTCCTAAGAAATTTGACCTTGTGGTTGAATATTGCGCAGTCATACTAGCAAGCAATTTCTGTGACGAAATTTTTGCGAGAAACCTTCCGAAATCTTTTGTCGCGTCGTCACTCAGCTGTTGAGACTGGAAACTTTTAAAGCTTCGTCTTCGTCCTGCCTCCTCTCGAAGTTTTGCAGTATTTTCTTTTCCGTGCATTGCAGGCTTTTTCGCATCAAGGAAACTCTGTTTATTATAAGTACTGTACTTTACCGAAAAACACGTCAAGTTACAACCAATGATTGGTTATAAAAAGCTAATTTAATAACCATTGTTACAGATCATTCCTAGCATGGAAATAATTTGTTACGATGCGTTTTTAAACTATGCAATGCCTTTCGAAAGTTAGAAAACAGTTTCAAAAGAGGCAGCTGTGTGATGCCTATTAATGAAGCATGCCAATTGGTCATGGATGCTCTTCCATTCGCTGCTTCATGTCAAGATGCTTTTATCTGGACTGATTCTGACACGGACCCATGGTGTGATTGAATGAATTGGTTTTCTTTCGGATGAACTGTTCGTTCGAGCAGATGTTTCAGTATTTTTCCAACTTGGGTCGAGGCGACAGCCTTGAAAGTCGTTCGAGTTCGCGACGAGCGCCTAAAAAGAATGCTATTCAGATGGTAAAATAAATTTCTTTTTCCGTAAAAAAAACTTAATATATGCATTCGATGAAAGAAAAGAAAAATAATTCCAGCAATGTGTTGTCAGCGCGAGTAGAAGTCCATAGATGGCGCAAGTCGGCTGCATGCGTCACGCATTCGCATGCATGCTTTCGTCGACAGTCTGTTGACGCTTTCGTTTCATACGCTTTATGCGCAGACAAGACCCAGGAATTGGACTTGCCTTCCCTGCGTGTGGATGACAATGAGAACAAGTCTCCTCTCCGGAAACCCAGGCCGGCGCCGACCCCAGCCGGCCCCACGCCGGGCTCCACCATGTCCCAGATTTCGGGCATCAAGAAGCCTCTGCCGCATGCGAACAGCTTCAGCATGGAAAAGGTCCCGAAGCTCGGAGTTGAGACGCCTTACGAAGTCGAACTGACTAAAGTGAGCATCTTCAGTACAGTACTTTATTTGTTTTCCTATAAATGGATGAGCGGTATGCTCTACCGACGCGCACAATGCATGACAATTGAATTCCTTCGGAGATCCTGCATTTGCGAAGCAAGTCTCGAAAAAACGCGCATGCATGTATTTTCAACTCGGGCTAGTTTCTCTGATTCAACTTTGGGCCATGACGTTGGGAACAATTCCGCATTCTCGTTCGTTGCAGCCCGAAGGCACCAAAAATCGATAAGTAAATTTGGAAAAAGGAATACAGATAAGAAAGATATTTTTCTGATCAATAATATGTATGTGTATGGAAAGCACAGGGAAGCCATTTGAAAAAGTTCTTGGAGTGCCTCCACCCGAGGTATTCCATCGGGGTACTGCGCATTGGGAAAATCTGTAATTCAGTCGAAATTTTCCTTAGTTTGCTACGATGACGTATTCTTGGCGGAAGTCAGTGGCAGTCGCGTGCATTTTAATCAATCCTCGAGTCGTCCGAAGTTCCAACTGATTTTATTATTACTTCCTCCGTGTGCATTACTAATGCTACAGTAGCATACGAGGGACGATCAAGTCCTCGTGGAAATCTCCAAAAAACACTGACTCTTTATTTATTTTGTTTCCTTTTTATAAGAAATCATTTTCGAACATCCGCCACATTTTCATCGTCAACATGCGATGTGCTTATGCATTTCTTTCACTCACAAAAAGGAAAAAAAGTATAATTTTTTGCGACACAAAAACTTATTTAAGGATCAGGAATTTTAGATTTACATCATTTTAGAAGCGAACTAATGTGATCGATCACGCCGTAATCACTAATGCTCGAGTGAAAATTATGCAGGAGCCAAATTCTCGGGAGGGCTTGTGTCCAACTGAGTGAAGTCATCTCTAAAGCTCTATGAACGGTTACTGAATGGATGATTAATGCTCAGTTCTATCCCCAGGCTTTAAACCTCGATGTGTGGGGTTTGGATATTTTCAAAGTTGATGAGCTTTCCAACGGGCGTCCATTGACTGTGGTCACTTACTCCATTCTCCAGGTAAGACAATTATTTGTGCATCAAGTTCTATGAATAGAATGTGTATGCTTCCCGTATCCAGAAGCGGAATTTGCTGGCTGCGTTCAAGATTTCTCCGAAAACAATGGTGAACTTCCTCATGACGCTTGAGGATCATTACTTGAAGACTGTCCCATACCACAACCGCGCACATGCCGCTGACGTCACTCAGTCGATTCATGTGCTGCTGAAAACCCAAGCACTCGAGGTAGGAAGCATGCTTCCCTGTATTTTTCTTTCCCGGGATCCCTTCGTATTCACTCCGTTCCCCCGAAAATATGACCCATTCACTGGATAACACGTACAGCAGCGCAAGCTCCTCTTTTCTCTGACGCCCCTCCCGAGTTCTATGGAAGCCCAAACCCAAAAATAGCGGTCGACAGAAGCAAAATACATTTGAGTTGTTGTTCATTTGTACAAATATTTCAGTTCTGCACATTATAAATTTAAGGTATGAATTCCATACGGATTGGAAAATTGAGCCCGGTGTCTCTCTGACGCGGAAATTGCGGCGTTAGAGTAGAATAAAATATCTTTCGAAATCCCTGATGAGCACAATGCAGTACAGTGATGCGCTCGTACGACTCATAGCCCAGAACACCAAATAGATTCGGCATGAAAATTCGCAACCTTATTTGGTGGACATACCACAGATGGCTCGTCGAAGTGGTACAACCTACGAAAATAAGGTCATGGAGTCCGGCCAGGAAATGTACTCTGAAAATTATTCCTAGCACATCGACATGATGAAAAAGAAAACATGAAAGCGCATTTTTAATTACGGGAAAAAAAGAATTGGTGAAAATGCATCAATGAAAATAAATTTATTTCTGCGTGCTTAATGTGTGGTAAAATCCACCAGCAAAAGTATTCCTGATAAATTTCGCTAGCTTTGAAAATTTGGGAGAATTCAAGCTTCTTAAAATGTCGGTTGATCGTCCGGGCGAATTTTCAGCCATATGTTGAGCAAGCTTTGTTTTGCTGATCGAATTTCCCTCTCTTGTTTGCAGTCCGTTTTCACCAACCTCGAAGTTCTCGCTGCTGTGTTTGCTGGGGCTATTCACGATGTTGACCATCCCGGGCTGACCAACCAGTATTTGATCAATACAGGTGAGTTTGTGCGATAACATGTTTGTAGACCTGAGAGAGAGAAAGCGCTGACTCGGATGTTTCACAGGCTCTGAGCTGGCGATTATGTATAACGACGAGAGTGTATTGGAGAACCATCACCTCGCCGTTGCCTTCAAACTCCTTCAAGACCCGAACCTGGACATTTTTGCTAACTTCACCAAGAAACAGCGGACGACTTTGAGGAAGATGGTGATTGATATGGTGAGCATTGCATATAAATCCATAACGCTCCCGCGATTTATTCTAGACACAATAATATATTTCTGAAATTTTGAAATATCCCTCCGAATAGTTTTTCCAAGTATTCTGACATTAATTTCGGGGTACTTGCAGGTTCTGGCTACAGACATGTCGAAGCACATGTCGCTATTGGCCGACTTGAAGACCATGGTGGAGACCAAAAAAGTCGCCGGATCGGGTGTCTTGCTCCTCGATAACTATACAGACAGAATCCAAGTACGGTTTACAAAAGCCGCATTATTAAAAACCGAAAACTGAAATACGCTCATTTCCCTGTCATAGGTTCTGCAAAATCTGGTCCATTGCGCGGACTTGTCAAATCCAACAAAGCCTTTGGCGCTGTATCAATTGTGGGTGGACAGGATTATTGAAGAATTTTTCTTGCAAGGTGATAAAGAGAGGGAGCAAGGATTGGAAATCAGCCCGATGTGTGATCGGCACAATGCTACCATTGAAAAGTCGCAGGTCAGTTCCTTTCACCAACACCCAACCTTGTTTCTGAAATTGAGTATAGGTGTCGCCAGAATCACTAAGTTGATGAAGAAAAGTCCGTCGAATCTAACCTGAAGATGTTGGGCTGACGCAATTCAACAAAAATAAAGCAATAACCTATGAATTATGTCTAACCTAAGAATTTGCCAATTTGGTCGAAAAAGCCTGTACGATACCGGACTTGATGCAGGCCTGACGCAATTTAATAAAATTAAGGAGATTTCCTATGCATTGATGAAGAAGATCACTGAGTTTCGCTATACAGTACCTATACTGGACCTGCAAGTGACGAGAACGATTTAGTACAGTATTTGTTAAGGCTGTCAAATTACGTCCCTGCTATATTGATCCATCGGAGATATTTTGCTTACTATACAGTAATTTACTAAGCATTGTTCACGGAGCCGGTGGGTAATTGATTGTTATCAATTGATGATGCTCAGGTCGGGTTCATTGAGTACATCGTTCATCCTTTATGGGAGACGTGGGGCGACTTGGTCCATCCCGACGCACAAGAGATGCTTGATATTTTGGAAGACAACCGGAACTATTTCCTCACCCAAATCCCGGCGAGTCCGACGTCGAGTCAGAGCGGGGTGAACGAGCTCCGGGAGACAGACGCAGAAGCCCCGGACGCCGCGGGTGGCGCGGAGGCCGCTGCGGCAGTCGGCATCGAAGGGATCGAAGAGGAGTCCGAACCGCCAACCCCCGGCGCTTCCGGCCCCGACGCGCACAAGGTGGAGACAATGGCCACGGTGTCTACGGTGCGTGGCAGTGGCGGCGGCGAGCAGCAGCACGTTCGTGTCCAAATCACAGTGGGCGACGCTGAGAGCTTCGACTCGCCGTCGAGTCCGCAGTCGCGTCAGCAGTCGCACGAGGAGGACCCCAGCGAAGGGTCGCCCGTATGATGTTTCTGCCTCAGTCGCCTGACACGGGCCTTTTGGACTTCAACCCACTACAGCCGCCTGTAAGCACACAGACGTTAGCGGATCATAGAGGAGCCCGTAGACGTGCGTCCCCTGTGTCGTGATCCCCGCCTCGGCACTCGACCCTCATGGAGTCCCCGACGCTGCGGCTGCCACCTTTCCCGGGATGAAGTCAGGAAGGTTCTGCGAGGCGACAAGAGGTCACACACGCGTCTTTTTCCCTTGGTTCTGCAAAGCCACGCCGGCGAGGACCACGCCGGCGCATGAAGGTTCCAAGAGTTTTCCTCCGTTCTTACCGTCGTTTTTGCTACGCGTGGAGCTTGTTACCTCAATTTCTCCATTTTTGTTCTACTCGAACGCGTTGGGAACTGTAAAAGGGAATTTTGAATTATGAAAGGGTCTGAGTGATTCACGGCCCGCGCGGGCATTCCGTTGCTGTTGAATTTTTTTTTTCGTCGTGAAGAGGCTGCTGATCGGTGCGTGATGTCGCACCGGAACTTGTATGCGATTGCTTAACATTGGATTTTCAGGAAAATGTTGATAGTGCAAGGGATGCTACATTAATAACGGGGTTGGAATTCCGGGAGACGAGATGAAAAGGAAAGAAGCGCTTGGAATTTTGGCCGGGCCAGCAGTCTCGCAGGGCGCCGGCATTCATTATTGCCGCTTAACACGAAGCATGTACATTTTATCCTTCCGTCGTACGTGTGGATCGAGCGTGATACTTTTTTTCTTTATTTTTGTTTTGTCGTCGCTATTCACAGCGGGTGTGCTTGATGGCAGCTAGCGAGTGCATGCATGGCTTTTACTTTCCGGCCCGCAACGACGCCAACTCCGGGCGGCTTTTTGTTGGCGTCCTTTTGGACGAGGCCAAGGGCGATTCCTTGATTGCGGGGTATCCGATAGAATCCGCTGTTTAACTGTTTGCAACTTCGAGTAAAAATCAATTCCCTGGATATCTGCACTTTGCCAGATGGCCGGTTTTTGTTCCGGTTCATTTTGCATTCGCCGCCCGGCTCCCGGTCCCCTATTTTTTCTATCGTCGAGTATTGTGAGAGGTACTGCTTTTCTAAGCATAACATCTTGATCCGAGAAAGAAGCTATATATCAGTGGAATGAACTATATATTGGAATTGACTCGTGCAGCTGTGATCCACCCCTTTTGACAAATGTATTGTCCCACACTGTTCATTGGTCCTTCGCCGGTTTCACCCAATGACGCTTAGCCCACCTGTAGCCTCGCAGCCGAACAGCGTTTGTACAGTTCAGTCGAGTTTTTTTCCTGTCTGCCAAATGAAACTCAAATGTCGGGGTTGCGCGTGCCGCAGTCTGAAATGGAAGAAATATTTTGAAGGAATGAAGGATCTCTGAGATTTACCTCAGAACCGAGAGACCCACAGACAAGGTCGCAGTTGGTCCAGGGCGTCAATGTAACTTCTTTTCCGCAAAATTTTGATGTGCACTTGCAGTAATTTTCTGAGGAAGTCGTAGCCCTGCTTTTCCTGGAGCTCGTAACTTTTCCTTACATGGATGTGGATACCGGGATTCTGTGATAAGATTAATATTTGTGTGCGGAATGGAAATTTTTAACAACCTCTTTGACTGAGTTATTGGAAGATCTTGCACAGTCGCGTCGCATATTTTAATTTAGTTCCAAGGAAACGCTAATGAGCTCTGCTCTGTAATGAAGGTCTGTCTCGAAACAATAACGGCGCAGAAATTTCCACGGAGCTTTATGTGAATGCTTGATTTTGGACGCGTGAGAAATTCATCTCCCGTCGTTATAGCATTGCGCTATTTCGTTATCTGTTGCAGATGACTAACTCGCCATGGACCTGTGCGCATTTGCTCGGTGCGAGTGTTTGAATGTGCCAAACTTGAGTCGGCAACGGTTTTTCTTTCTTTGGAATGTAATGAATGTCGGCGTTGTCTTTTCTATGCTGTCCCTAGAGACTACAAAACACACGGCGGAAAGCGCGGCATTGAAAACGTACGTCAGAAATGGAATTCTATTGGGGAATGAAATTACAACTTTGATGGAAATTCATCTCACCGCTGTTGTTTTCATTGCAGTACTTTCTTTTGCTAGATTTTCAGATGCATTTGCCGATGTTTACGTCAGAAGCAGCCGTAGCATCGTGATAAAATGTCGACTGTGTGTCCTGATGGGCTGATGGATCCTCTTCTTTCGACAACAGCAGCAAGCCATATATATTACATGGAAGCGAATCAATGCATTAGCAAACAATGGCGCAGATAGTGACATATCTACATCAGCTTCTGTTTCATCAAGCCCATTAGATGTCACTGCAATGAAATGAATAACGCCTTCATAATACCATTTGTAATCGAACAGTTACACTTCCCCAAACGGCGCATGAGCTCCACAAAGCAGCAAGTTGATTCAAGAGATCGCAATGCCGCAAGATTCACAAAATTCATTCTAATTCAGCATTCGTCCAATGCAACTAATAGGGATTTCTTCATGACGCAAAAATAACTTTGCGTGAAATTTACCTTCACATCAACTGAACTACCTCCCAAAATATTTTTCCGGATCAGTAGCAAAGGAAGAATTATCTGACACGAGTGGATCAACATCAATTTTCACATGTATCTCTAGGCTCAACGGGCTACTCCTGACAAATTGCACCTACAAAATGAATGTTTCTTATCACAAATCTCCGTTCTTGCGCGAGCATTTTGAAACAGATCCATTCATCCTTTTAAGCATGACACAGAGCAAAACCAAAATTTTGGTATGTTTCAAAGATGTCGCTCCAACAGTTATATTTTTTTGGGAGCCAAACACTGGAATCAGATGCTTCGGGGAGGACCAAAGCACATCGACACATATTTCCCTCAGGCAAAGCACATAGAATACATATTTGGTATATCAGGTTCAGCCATCCTCATCATTTGGTCGCATCTTACTGAATTACGCACGCTTTTGATTTATTGGAAACACGATGGAAAAGACCAGATTTGCCCGTGAGACAACCCGAGAGCTGCTTACTGCTTGCATCACAGAAGCCGGGCGTCTTTGGAACTGACTTCTGAGGACTAGAGTCGACACAAAGCCCTGGAATCCTTGGGGATGAAGACAATCGTCTGTTCTGAACTTTTGTGAATAGGACTCGGTAAATGCCAATGACAGTACTGCGATTTCCACGTGTCTCTGCAGTGCGTAGCATTTCTTCGGGAATTCCAAGCCTGTTCATCTCCTTCAGCACCAGAGCATGGGCATCGTCGTGTGAGAAATTGAGACAACACGCACCCCCAGTGCCTTTCAGCCAAGCATGATTTTGCAGCTCCGTCAAAGTGGGTCGTCGCATGGGTTCTTGAACTAGGATTGAGCTCACTATCTCCTTGGCCCCTTCTGGCATGTTTTCAGGAACACTAAAATCACCAGCAACAATGAGCTTTTTGAGGGCAGCCACGGTTTGCGCCCGGAATGGCATAAGCCCGGAGACCATGAAGTAGAGCAAAACGCCGAGGGCCCACACGTCCACAGGGCAACCGGCGTAGGAATCGTCTTGGAATAGCTCAGGAGCGGCGTACGGTGGAGAGCCACAAAACGTTTTGAGATTCTCATTATTGGCAATGCCGATGCTGAAACCGAAGTCGCCGAGCTTCACCCACCGCGGCGAAGCATAGAACACGTTTTCGGCTTTTATGTCTCGGTGGACCATGTTGTTACCATGCTTGAAAGAAAAATTTTTTTTATTGCATAATCAGACAAACCATTGAACACACAAGCTGAGTTGAAGTTCCCGTTGCACAGCAAGCACCGGAATTTGGCACCAACATCGCGAACACAGAATTTCCAACAATACCTTGTACATATTTGATTCAATACAAATTTTCAAAACATCAAATTGGAGCAATTTCAGCTTTTTAGGCATGTAATGATGAGAGCCAATACGAGTTCACAAACAGCAAAATACTGTACAATATTCTGTAACTTCTATCTTAAAATGCCTCTCCTGGCCTTTATTCATGAAAAAATACAGTATTTCATCAAGTGAAATTACTGTGTTTAAATTGACTGTCACTCTATTTCTCTTCACAATATATGAAGTCCGGAAAAATCCGTTTCATTCAAATTAAATCGAAATTGTGACTATCCTATTAGGAATCTTTAAAAAAACATCCACTGTGTTTACTGTAAAAACAAATTCGTTGTGACAAGATTCTAAACTTATTGTGGAATTTTTCAATCTACAATTTTTTTTTCAAGCAGTTCAACCTCTTGGATTCATCACTTGATTTTGATGAACTACCGCGTTGAAATAAAACCAAGATTCAAAAACACGCAAAAATTGAACTTCTCAAATTTTGGGACACTTCCTTTCCATGTCATACATACTGTATAAGAAAACCATGTAAACCAAAAATTCCATACTAACCATGTAACTCACTGCCGAGACCAGCTGAGAAAATATGACTTTTGATTCATCCTCAGAAAGCTTGCCTTTGTTTGTTATGTACGCGAACAACTCTCCTCCACCGGCATACTCCATGATCAAATGAATCCTTGACAAAGTCTCAACAACTTGGAAGAGTCTGATGGAAGAGAAGGAATTTTGTCAGTTCAAGTTGATGCCAAGAGCATGACATCTTCCCTAAAATACTCGCCGAATGATATTGGGGTGTACTAGCTTGTCCATGTTGATGATTTCTCGAGAGAGCATCTTTTGGGTCTTGTGATCCAGTCTTGTTTTATCAAGAATCTTGATAGCAACTTTCTCTGAGAAGGAAACCCATCCCGCATAATGGATTTAAAAAAATGCTTTTGAGGAAGATTAAAAACCAGAGGACTTCAATTGGGATACCTTTGGTGAGTTGATGAACAGCAGATTTGACCTGAGAAAAATTTCCAGATCCGATGTCGGATTTGAAGCGATAAAAAGATACGCGCTTCCCCAAAGTCACTTCTTTGGCCCACTTTTCATCGTGGTTGCAGTCGTAAACGATTTTCTCATAAGGTGTCATTGCGGTCTTGGTTGGCTGCCGATTAAAGCAGGCTCCGGTTGACACAATGCCCATTTCCATCGATTTCTTCGTCGCGGACACATTGCTGCCCACACTTTTCTCACCATTCCATCCCTTGCCATCATGGTCACTCCCATCGATTTTTTCCATGCCTGGAACGATGAAGAAAATCGTTGCAGAGATCAATTATATATTGCGTCTTCAGCAGAGATGTAATGGTAACAGCCACAGCACACTATACACACACGTCTCTCATATATTTAAGGACAAATCTTGGTCGAGGGAATTTACCTCGGAGAATAAACCTCATTATTTGTGGGAAATACTGAACAGTATACTCAATTAGTCTTTGCACACACTTGAAAAGAAACATTCTGAAACGCACATTTTGATGTTGACGCGCCAACCGAATAAATATTGACACTATGAAGGACGTTTCAAAAGTTTCAATGGCTCAAGTAAGTTCTTGAGGTATTAAGTAGTATATGAGGTTTCTTGTCGCAGTCCGATTCCCAATTTTTAACTAAATAACTCAAGCACAATCATAACATGGGAGAATTATCCAATGGTGATCAACGCAATTTTCCAAACGAGATTTCCGCAGGGTTCTGCCTATGTTTCAAAAGTTGATTCAAACATTCTTCACTGATGGACCAGCCTATTCACGAATGAATTTCTTCTCTCGTTTTCAACCTGGGTAAAAAGAAAATTTGAAAATTCTTCAGGAAAAAATTAGCATTGCTTTGTGAGATATAAATTGTCCTGCGGCATCCATTCATCCAAGGGAAACACATAACTGACAAAACACGTGAAACAAACAACGTACGATATTTTTTCATACAGAAAATCAAAATAAAAGCGGTGTGATCAGTGGCTCGAAGTTCGTAAAAATTTCCCACTACGAAAGCCGCTCAGCGAGATGAGACGTGGTGATCAGCCCATATTGGGCTACGATCTGAACATTCTGGAAGAGCTTTTCCATAAACCTCAGGATTTCGAAAACAAAGGATTTTACCAAGAGGGAAAACAAATCTTCAAAAGGAAACACCCTCCCGTGAGAGAGATTTGAAAAACAGGAAAAGAAGAACATTTTCTCATGAATGACCGTCAAAGCTGATGTTTAACCATGCAGAGAGGCAGATGCACTTACGGTCTCTTAGATATTCATGCGAAAAACACGACTACTATACGGATTGCAAGCCTATAAACAATTCTTAACCAATGTGCAAAAGCACGCGTCGGGCTTGGATCCAACATACAAAGTGGAGATTTTCTCCAAAAAAAACATAATGGCTCGGGAGCTTGAATATTTGCAATTTTCTTTAGTTGACTTCCAGCAAAATTACCTGGAAAATAAATTATTTGGCTTCTCCTTCAACATTCTTTTGTTTCAATGTCTTCACTCAACTTGGCTTGAACTTCAATACTAATCTGCATATATGTGGGTCGATAAAAGGAAAATTTCATCCAATTTTGATTGCCCTGCTGTCAATAGTTCTTCAATTTCTCCCAAGTGATTACACAGCAGCGCATGGAAGCACATTACATCTTGAAAGTGATCAGCTGGAAATTTACAGCAGAAAAAATGCATAAAGCTCTGTAGAACAGATGTCTACAATTATAAAAAGATCTCATTCTGCGATGCAGTTGGTTATTTGTTGACCTGCTCATTAGAAGGTGTTTGATTAAACCCAGATGAAAGAGTGCTCCTTCACTGCAGGTGGCAGTTAGGCATACATTTATCACAGTAATTACACCTTTTTAATCCTCATCTAATCTTCCAATTGTGCATTCAAAGTAAATTTGAAAATGTTTCTTCATAAAATGAATTATGGGAATCGCTTTAGGAAATGTATACAGCACTCCATTTATAATTTTAAAAGCAGAACAAAGCGCTGACCCACTTAAAAGTGTAACCCACTTGAATCAAGTTATACCGTACAGAAAAAATTAGAATGTTTTGAAGACTGAAAACAATAAAATAAAAAAATTTCAAGATGCCACGCCCTTCTTAATAATTATTTCAATGTGCTCATCTTTTTGTGCATGAATTTGATGAACATCATAGAATCTTATGTCTGAAGATAATTGCAGTTCAGGTTACTTCTTCCATTTTGGGGTAATCGGCCCCAATGAGTATACACACTTTCAGCGTATAGGTCCACATACAATTGAAGTTTAAGGAAATTCGAGGACTACAAAACTCAATCAGAAGAGAAGCTGTGCAGTGAGGATTTTTTCGAACCATGAAATAAATTCAAGTCACCATGTTTGTCTCGCGTTAAATTAGAGTATCAACAAAATTGCGATCATGGGTTTTTCATGCATACCATATACTGCGCATTTATTACAACTCGGAGCGTTTGCGTTCACTTCCTCAACTCTGCATCCCGGACAAAAACTCACGATGAATTTTTAGATTAAATCTTACAGCGATCATTTTTACTGAATGCATGCAAATGAAGCAGTTATTTCAGGTGCACATGAAAGATTCGACAGCTGAACCCAAAAGTGGGATTGAGCAGCCGAGAAATCGCATGAAATGTTGTGGAAATGCAGCATCCTCTCGCTTTGGAACTGATTGGAACTGAATTTGACCCGGGTATTCAGACCACGAGGGCAAGCTTTTCCGTCGGCATTTTAACCGCTTTATTCCGCCGCAATCGAAAACAACTAGGCAGACGACAGCAAGTTAGTTGAGTCTTCGTGAGTGCAAAAACTTCCTATAAGTTAAGGATGTTTCATTCAAACATTACATTCCGGGAAAAGTGTTATTTTTAGAACTGGTACCTGCTCCCATTAGCTCCATCGCAGAGAATACATGGACATGGTCAATACAGCAAGTGATCCTGAGTCCGATTCTCAATCACGTGGTCGCCATTCAAGTCACGACAAAGCGATTGACGAGCGCTGTCAACATGCAAACGTCAGCTCCCAAACAAATACATAAAAATCGTGGAAGGAGGAAAACAACCTGTATTTTTTTGAGTTCAAGTCTTTCTGGAGCGTAACTTCAGCTTGCCATGTGAGAGCAGAAGCTTCTGTAACATGCTTCATGCGAGAGGAAACCTCAGGATCTGGGCCGACAATCTAACATTTCCGCTACATGAGTTTTTGAAATCTTCCAAAGGTGTCGCCCGCATAGAATTACATTTTTCTCATTTTGGCTTACTCAACAGGAAAGAGATTTGCTTTGCTCGTTTGCAATACAGGCAAAATTGGATATATTCAAAGAATAACGTCGAACATAATATAAATTGTAGCAAAACCATGCACAGTTTTCAAATAAACCTTCCCGTAAGCATATTTACAGTTGCAATACAATGTATCCAAGAACATTTTCAGATCGGAAAAAGTGCGAAGTCTTTGGGCAGAAATGAGCTTGTATCCATCAATGTACTCCAGAATTTCCCGGATAATATTACAGAGATCTGTTACATTTTAATAATGTCATCAATAAACATGAGTAATAAAAAGACATTACCTGCTAATACTGTACTGCAATAGCGTCTATAAAATTTCATGTTATAATTGCGAAAATCAAACGCACAAGGAAGGCCCTTTGCATTTTTCAAACTGTGGAGAGGTAATTGTTAACGATGAGCATAAAATGCTCCTATACAAGCCTGCACTGTACATGCTGTATTTGCTTCACCATAAATAAAGGTAAGGTCTTCTCAACACTACTTGCATGCAAGGATGCGACAAATGCACGTCTTGCATGCTTTTTACGAGTTGCATATTGGATTTAAATTTTTTAGCATTATCGAAGATAATATGAAGAACAGTAGTGTGAAATTTCCTTTTCCAGGGTAAAGTTAAGGACAAAGATGCAAACTGAATTCGAAGCTGAAGACAGGGCCTATGGTGATTTACTGTATATGTGGAACTTATTGGTTGTACAGTACGTGAAACCTGGTCCATCATCGAAGGGGTAACACTTCACAGAAGGAAATGTTAATCTAAGCACAGGTACCATCACCGGTGACATGTGGCATATTCTAGGGGCATATTTGAGATAAATAGAAGTGAATAATGGAAGTTTTCCTGCATTTCTGGATTCGAACGTCAACGGCAGCTTCGATTCTAGTTGGCGAAATTTCCAACGCGCCCAAAGGTGTGACGAAGGGACGTCGAAATACTGTATATTCTCTCGGAGCCAGGAAATTCGTTTTAACGTCAGTGGAGAAACTTGCTCACCGCGTTTCGGTCCTCCCAGTGTCGCCCTCAGAAAACAAGCCAAGGGTCAGAGGGCTTTAAAACCGCGGGGTGCAGGGGAAAACAAAAACGACGCGGTGCCAATTTCCGCCAGCTCTCCCCCCTCTTCCGACGCGGGACTCCTGGAAATCACGGAAAACAAAAATAAAAGAGCGGAATCACGGAAAGGAAAATAAAATAACGAAACACGCAGCCAGGGATTCAAATGAGGGACGAGTGATGACTTCGTAGAGGATGAAAGCGGTGCTTTTCCAAGCGCGGCTTTTCGCAAGATCTCGAGCACACGCGAAAACGTGCTGTTGCAACTCGTCTCGCAAGCTCGTGTTCCGCGACGCCGGAGCTGTTCCTCTTTGTTTTCACCGCACGGAAGCCGTGGTTCCTTCGCACTTTCCAGTACTTCATTTGAATATTCCAGTTTACGACATCCTCCGCGGCATTTTTGAAAACGATCACCGTTAACTTGGCAAGAGAACACCGCGCGCTTGAAAGTCGGCTCCAACATTTCCAACGGACCCATTATTACTGAGGGTTGCATTGTCTTTGTATGAAACAGGGGAGGGTTCGAGGAATTATTTTGCGAATTCCGTTTTCAGCCGTAGGATCACGCGCTTTCAAGTCTGCCGCAAAATTTGAAAATGATAAATCATCGATCATTAAATTGCCTTCGTTCATCGTACTTAATCTTATTATTCAAATTAATCGACGCCTTTTCAGTTTAAGCAGCCTACTACTGTATAAGATTCTCAGGCGTAGAATATGGGAACTTCCCTCAAACTCGTCTTTACTTCCTTGAAAATTGAGGTCACGCTTCGTTTCGAAGCAACAATTTCATCTTTATTTTGCGAACGGAGGATAAATCGAATTCATATTTGCATGGGCTTTCATTCGTTATAAAATTTTGAATATAAATATTGCGAGACAGAGAATGCATATCTTGTGCCTCAATTAATCTCTCATTTTATTAATCGTGCCCGACTTTCAAGGCGATCAAAGGATATCGAGCAACGTACCTTATTGTATAGTACAGTGAGACCCCCACATGCGGACGCCTTGACCTGCGGACAATTCGACTTAGGGACACTTATTTTCCCAGAAAAATTAATAAAAATGACCCGACATGAGGACACTGACTCGACATAGGGACATTTTGTGAAGAAATTGCAAATACATTTCTGACCTAATTACATGATACAGATATTTCTAACCCTGAAATTGATGTAAGAAAAATTCTGGGGCATTTCTCTCACCAAATTACCATCCATTTAGCTAATAAAAAAAATTACCTCCAGCATAGAGGGACTTCTACTTTTTCTCACTTGAATGTTATTTGTGTAGATGCCAAAATTTCAGTGTACAGTTAGTCTATGGGAAAACAAGACTCAACTTAGGGACATTTCGACTTGGGGACACTCTTGATGCACCAATTATGTCCGCATCTTGGGGTCTCACTGTATATATTTTGGCAGAAGTTTAGTTACTTCACATATAATTTTGTATCTCAAATTTTCATTTCAATCTTATTGTAAAAGTATGATTAGCATGATAAGCATCAGCAAGTTTTAAATTTTCAGAGAACTATTTCGCATCCTTGATGAATTTTCGAAAACAAGTTCAGGAGTTACTGTGGGGAATTCGCTTTTCTTTCTTCCAAATTTTTCTGAATTTCGTTAATACTGCGCATCGTGAAGTCACCGCTGAATTTTTCATTCATCGCCAAGGTTTTTCCATCCCCGATTATATCGGTAATTAGGACAGATCATCGTGATTCTGCTGCACCGCCCTAATGATAGATCAGTGGATATTGCTCACCGCGCGGTTTCCTGAAGTGCAGAAAATTCCTCGAGCACAGTAACAGAAAATAAAGATTGATGATGCAGCTTATCTTTTTTGTCGATTTTATACGATCGAAGAGACATCCATGGGTTTCGTTAGTTCTGCTCAAGCTCATGGATTCTTCAGCAGACGCTTCTTCGTAAACCGAGGTCGTGTTATGCTTTGAAGTAACATTCCTTCTCTTCTCGTCGGTGAAAAACTGATCTTGTTCAGGCTTCACGCTTAAATTTTCGGCTTCACGCTTAAATTTTCGGAAAATATTGGAAGGATCCAGTATCGTCCTAATTCCATGTCACCTCGAGTTCAACACAAAATTGTTATCCTAAAAATTTACTTGGCTGAGAGGAACATCCCTTAAAATTCTCAATCCCTTTCCTAATGTCAGAAGATGAGGCGCCACTGTGCTAGTCCAGTTCATGATAATTTCGGATGACTGTTTTTCCGCATAAAGGCATGGGGATGGTAGATTTTTAAAATCGTATACTGTAATAGCCCGCATGCCGATCCATCATAATAAATCAATTTGCGTTAATTTTTGAAATGCGGCTACTAGGTTACTGGCATTAAAAAAACTATGGAAGTTCTGTTTAATCGAACTACTGAGCAGTATGCGCTTTTTTCCGCGTTTTCTTATAACTTCCATTTATATTTTAAATTAATTTAGGATAGCATTCTGGATATTTTTGGGAGCACGGAAGACTGGCAATCAAAATAATACAGTATATTATTGTCTAACCTTAGACCAGATGCCTAACGTTTTGACTCATATAAGATGCAAGCACATTTGATTCAGTTTATTCAGGATCAGAGGAGTCCATTGATTTTACGCATGTATCAGTTACCAACTTGATCTCAAAAAATTCAATAAAACGTGGACTTCAACTTTCGTTCCTTTGACCGGCACATAATGGCAAATGTTTTGTCTATATCATTTTAGACAATTTCTCTCATGGTATTGGAACTGAGTCGAGCGTGCGCTTCATATTCGATCCTGAGACGACATCAAATGTGAGACTCATCAATTATAAAACGTGCCCTTACATCTGGAGCCATTTTTGCAAAAAATTACGTCTTACCGTGAAAATACTGTGAAGATCCGCATATCTTTAAATATTGAAGGTTTCGAGCAGCAGCGTTCTTCGCGCAGAATCTTAGCAAGGTACGGGATTCAACATTGGTGGGTCTTGACGGGATATGCCTGTGCATGATGTACTCACACGGCAACGCAGAAGCTTTTCGGCCTGATTACCGAGAGACGCACCCGCGAGATGAAAGGGACCAGCCGGGTTTCCTCATAACCCGCACTACTTCCGGTATGAAGCCTCTTCGTCGAAACGAAGTTTCCAGGCTGCGAGATGGAAAAAATAAACGTTGCCCAGGAATGAATTTATTCCGAGACGCGCGTCACGCGCGCTGCTCGTCGGCCACACCGCCGGGCATTCCGGAGTCACGCACAAACAGCGCAACTTCATTATTATACCGGAAGGAGAGCGACGCAGAAAGCAGCGACTCCCCAACTTAGCGTAAAGCGTCGCGCGTTCGAGCCTTGACCCAAATCCGAGAAACCCCGGTTCGCCGCGCGAGTTACTTTTCAGAGCGCAAAGCTGCAAACCATCACGCGCACACCAAACTCTCACGTTAACCCCACCCCACCCTCTTTGCTACAGCTCGTCGACAACAAAGCGGAACCGTCGGCTGTCACACGCATGCAACATCGTCATTCTGCAAGGGAACATCAGTTGGAAACCTCGTAGAGGTAAGCACGTTGACAATATGAGAAAATGCGACATGGTCGGTCAAGGTTAAACTCAGGTCACCGACAACCGACACATCTTACGCTTCTTTTCAGATACTCGCACAGTTGAGCCTATAAAACTCCTGCTTTGAAAACCCTTGTCCGAAACAACGAACAAAGGAAACTTGCTACAAACGTTCACTAACGGTAGTGTCAATTGATGGCACTTACCCGCGATCAAAAGAAACGTCAATAACGGTGTCAGGGAATAAATTAACCGTTTAAAGGTTGCTTGAATCTATCAATAATTCCGAATGCATGAGTATTGAAAGACTTTTCATGGTTCGAGCAGACCACCTTTAATTGATTGATGAGCTCAACTACACCAATATCATCGTTACCAAGAAATATTTGTCGTCCTCCGAGTATCGTGGTGGGAAATAGTCTACTTGCACTATTAATAGTCACACATGATACTTGAGGTAATTACAGGATGCAATTTCTGGCATTTCGTCATCCATGATTTATTCTCTTTATATTTGTTTGGCCACAAGGCATCTAGTCATTAAATCGGATAACGAAGGCTCCACCGTGAAGTATCTGTTATTTCATTTACACGAGAATCCAGGCAAGAAAAGTATAGATTTTTTAAATAGAAAATATCAGGATGTATCCTTCGCGTTCGTATTAAAAGAATCGGAAAAATCTGAGCACAAAATTATGTGCTTAGCTTTCCCATTTTCAATCTAGAAATGGATTCTCTGACTTTATTCCTGGTTATATATTCTCGCAGGCGAATTAATTTATTGAATGGAATAGAAAAGAAAATTAACTGTATCGTGACATTTCAGAGCGTTTTATCCTAACAAAAATAAAGTTGAATTATTTTTACGATTAAGTTTATTTCACGGTTTCAGCGTCATAAGTACTGTACTCGCACAGAGTTCTGTAATGCTTCAATAAATGTTGTCACGTGCTTTTTCGTCCTGTCATTCTACTGGGGAACTCCAATAGAAAATTCAATAACATGAATATGAGCTTTATTTGATCGTCACTCAAAACGACGGCTCGATCCATTCAGTAGATTAGATTGTGTTATAGTATTAGCTCAATGTTCCTGAACCCCGTAAACTATTGCGTTCATTTCACAGAAAATTAACACGTTTGTTTCCAACGTCAAGTTAAAATTCTTCTTAATCTCGTGATGAGTTCATTAGTATGGGAAGACAAATTAACGCATAACGAGCCATCTCACACGGTAGACTTCCTCGTCAACAGTCACGGAGAATTTCATCGCATTCATCATTTCTCCAATAAATTTAATTCCCCAAATTTGGTCAGAATGAATTATTAGAAAGACGCGAACCTTCGGCTACATCTTGTAATGCATGCGATGACACCTCTGACGACCAGTGAACAGAATTTCACATATATGAACGGAAAAGGAAGCCAATGAGCAAAATATATATTCACCGCTCGGAGGAAACTGTATCTTCAATGCTGAGTAAAAAAAATACAAAAAAACTCTTCGACTATTTTTGGACTCGGACTCGTAA